AAAAAAAAAAAGGTGTTACAATATGAAGACAAGAGATTGTCTGACATCACATGGGAAATTGCTGTCTCAATGATCACAAACAATGTTGAGATTTTCATTTTATTTTTGGTATATTATGAATCATTTAAGAAAAAAGGATGATAAATGTTACTACCCTTACAAAAGACAAATATTTTATGCATGCATGAGGCCTGTCATCAACCTATCATAGATAAAAAACAGGCCATACTAAATCAAGGGAGTTTAAACTTGGATCCGAGGAAATTTCTAGAAAATATGTATCCACTTTCACCAAATAATATTCACAGCCAATGTGTTCATATTTCATGGCAATTAGCGACCATCTTAGCATGTGAAACTATAATATTCGACATAAAATATTTCTTAGGAAGTTAGTGAGAGTGCATCTATAAAATAGCCCCATTGTAAATAGATTTTCCCACCAAATTAGAAGCTACTATTCTTTGAAATAACTGAGTAACATAAAATCGTCTAAACGTATGTTTAAAAAGTTTCCAATAATTGAGTGAACTGAAATGGCAAGTGATTATTTTTAAGCTTAATAACATTATTATTTGTTATCCAATTTTTATATGTAATACATCAAATTAAAAATGTTTTGATGATATCCTCCAGTCTATGCTTATGATGCATATATGAAATAAAAAATATTTTTTTATCTTTATAAACTAAATTCAAATTTGTTTATCAATCTTAATTTAAAATAACGAATTAGCCTAAGATTATCTCAAAAAAAACTGTAAATGCAATATACATATAAAGCATAAAAAACATAAAACAATTAGTGTGCTAGATTTGTGCCACATAGGATTGAAAAACTGGTGCAGAGAATTGTGAATTGTTGAATTGGTTCTGAATGACAGATCAAATGTTCATAACATACATATATTTATGAATTAAAAATTATAGGAAAATTACACGATAACTTGTATCAATTGTCACGATAAAAAATCATAATATTTGGAAATTTTTAAATAATATACAAAACACATTAATCACATATTTGTCAAATAATTCGATTGACGAATATTGTGATGATTGAAATAAAAGAATCATGTTATATTACACAGAATTATATAATATAATTCAATATTCTCATAATAATAATTCCCTAAAACTAACATGAATTCAGGGAATCTTTCAACTCCTAACAGTTCCAGAAAAGGATTATGTCCGTTTGTTATAACTTCTTCTAATTAAAGTTAATCAATAATAACACGGGAGTGAATAAAGAGATCCATGATATAAAACAGGTGAATATAGAATGTGTACTTTAGGGGGTAGAGAGAGAGAGAGAGAGAGAGAGAGAGAGAGAGAGAGACTGAAAACACTATGAAGATGGAATAAAACGATTACATGATATATAACAACCTGAAGATTATGCATTGGCGGCTGCTTCACATTGAAAGCAAACTCCTCGTTCCATGTGGGTTCTTTCGTCCTGAATTTATTTTCTTGAATTAGTTACTTCACTGTAGGCATCAAGATCTTTCTTAAACTATGCTGATGAGAAATTTCAAGCAAGCAAAGCAAAACAAAGTGGACCAATCAATCCAACGCCATGCACAGATGAGCTTCTAAGCAGGGTCTAGATGGGTGTTATCTTTTATATAGGTGTCGAACAAGTTAATTTCATTAGGTAATGCAACTTTTAGGTACATCCAGCGAAAGGAACAAAACATGTCATTCTAGTAAATACTATCCTTCAGTTTAGATGCAGACTATTGTCTGTTGAGGTAACACCAGTTAGTTCACTGCTTAGACAAAAATATTATCAATCAAATAAAATAAGATTAAAAAAATAAAAAGAAAGAAAAAAAAAAGGTAACAAACACACAAGCTACTTACCCCCATCTGACCTTGCTTTTTATTAGCTGACTATCCAATTGCAAGATTACATATGGGTCACTAGTCCCCTGAGAATCAAGCAATATCAAGCTCACTTAACTATCAAGACGTTATTAAACTACAGTCGACATAATTTATTGAGGTACAAAGAATTGAAGAACATTACCCTACCCAAGGATCCATGGCGGGGAAATTGAAGCCTTTGTTTAGCTTCACAAATAATTGTCCATCATAAATTTCTCGTAGGAATGGTCTGAAAAATATCAGTTAAATCTTTGAAAACAGAAAAAAGATGTTAAACTTCTGAGAAGCTAGAAAAGTTACGGTTACGTTGTCCATCTGCTTGTACTTGTAGAAAGAGCTTGGTTCTCTATGCTAAGCATTTTTCTATATCGCAATTGGTAGCAACTTTTCTAAATAATTGAATGTGTCATTTTCAAATTTCTGGTTTCAGTTCAACTCATTTACCCTAATGCATGAAGGTATACTGTATAGGAAGCAAGAGAGGTGGCCAAACCAACCCAAGCTAATACATATTTCATGTACACCCACATACACATCGGATATGCTTTTGTTCCTTTGAATTTTCCAAATTTAATGCATGCAGATTTGCAGAAAAGCCATATGCTCATCTCATGAGAAAAAGATGTAGGATACGCTAGATGTAGCTATTGAGCCATGAAAATTCCTCAAAGCAAATAGCTTGTGTTTTACGAGCTGGCTTTGTAGAACTTGTTTTGGTGCTTGGACCAAGTGAAACACTGTTGTGTTATATCTTCTTTATATATCGACTTTTTTTTGTATAAATCACCTAAGATGGCTCCTTAAAACCTTACCGTCCTGCCTAACGTCATTTCATTACTGAAAAATAACAAAACCCCGAAAGTTGTCCTTCTAGTGTTATAGGACGATAAGGAAAAACGTAACAACTAGTGAAATTATAAAGATCGCACTGAAGATAGTTTTGAATATTTGATGATGTTTGCTTGCATAAAAATTCACATATAGAACAGATTTCACCAATGACGCTTATACAGTATTGTCAGATCATACCAATTGAAGAAGTTGAAGAAAAGAAAAGGTTTCAATTATCGTATATACGAGAAAGAAGTGCAAGGCAAGGTAGCATACCTTTCACAGTTGAATTTCACAAAACAATTCTTTCAAAAAATTAAAAGAGGTAGCACGCAACTTATAGAATACAAATTCAGTAACACAAAAACAATTTGAAAGCACAATATATAAACACTCTAACTGACAAAAATACTTAAGATTAGCATTTGCTGAGTGAGCTCCAAAATCCAAAGCTAAATAAATAAATCATCAGCCTAGAATCCGCATCATAACAACTTCCACTTCAAGTTTGTTATAAGTTAGTTTTAATTTTATTTGTTTTAAAGAAACACATACTCAGAGAGGAAGACTGTCTGGCATTGTGCTGCATCCATTTCACGCTTGTTGACTTTTTCCTAATAAATATGGACAGAGATAAGGATCAAAATCAGGAAACAATGAATGGTTGACCACTGCCGCAACTAAATGCAAGTCATTTACTCGATTTCCGCAGTTTCGGAATCGAAGCCAGAGCAGATCCCCCAAATTGGAATCGGAATCAATTCAAAAGCGGTTACTGATTTTTTTTTTTTTTTATTTTTTTTTTTTCAATCTCTATAATGAAAATGAGTCCATCGCAATCAACATAGAAGGAAAAATTACTCGAAACCAGAAAATCACACATTGAAAAAAACAAAACATAAGAACAAATCGTGAAATTGAGGGAGAAGAGAAATACAGGCGGCGGAGTGGTGTAAGCTTCAAATGCAAAACCAGCCAAAAGGACAGCCAAATTGATGTCAAACGGCGGCCTCTCGTTCAGAGTGTCCCTGGGAGCTGGCTTCGCAATCTCAGCACTGCCATTGCTAACAGTAGTGCTTGCTCGGTAGAAGCGACTGGATCTGGAGCGCAGCTCAGTGCTGCTAAATTTGTGCGAGAGAACGAGCTTACTGGAAAAGGAGAAACAGTGAGGATTCCTGAAGTGGATGAGATTGGGCGAGTTGCTGGAAGGCAGAAACCGGGAGTGAGACTGCAGCACGGCCATGGACGGAGATGAAGCTTTTTTGCTGTTTTTGCTCAGGGATAAGAGGGATTGGAGAATCTGGAAACAGGTTTTGAAAGGATTACTTATGATGAGAGTTTGAAGAGTGGTGCATGTTGAAAGAGAATGTACTGGGAAAAAGTGGAAACTGGGCGGGCGGGGGGCGCCCATAGATATAAGCAGATCCCAATGAGGGACATAACGGTTACAGGGTACTATTTTTTACCCTGTCCAAGTAAATAAGGTGGGATTTGGCATTTGGGTGGGGCGATAGGCGCCCATAGAGAGATGTACACTCTCCACCTTTTTTTTAAATATTATTACGAGGAATTTACCCTCCATACTATCAAATATATTTTATTTACATATTTACAATTCATTAATATTTATTTAGGGTAGATTGCACCAAACCCTCCTGTGTTTAACGAAATGTGCACGTTTTTACCTTGTGTTTTAAAAAATGCACCAAACCCCCTTATATTTAAGTAATAGTTGCACGATTCCCCCATTCCGTCTAACTTACCGGCGCGTGTAAAGCACATTCTCCAGCTACAAAAATTATTCAATTTTTTATTTTGTAGAATTGGTAATTTACATTTATACCCTTCTTGAATTTATTGCAAAAACCAAAACTATATATAGAGCGCGGGAAGTCAAAATCGAACCTAGGTCTCTTGGATAGAAAACACCCCCACAACCACTGGGCTACCTTAATAGTTATGTAGACTATTGAACATAAATATATATCCGTATGAATTGGAAATGAATTTAATACTCTAAGAATAGAATAAATAAAATGAAATAGTATAATAGGTAAATTTAATATAAAATAAAATAATAATAATAATAACTTGCAATTACTAAATTAATATAAAAATAACGAATAAAAATAAAGTAAAATTAATTATATAAAATTAATTAATAAATAATATAAAATAAAATAAAAATAGAATAATTTACATAAAATAAAAATAATAATTATATAAGATAATAAAGTATAAAAATGATAAATAAAATAAATAATAAATCAAATAACTTATTATGAAGTAATAAATAAAAATATTAAATCAATTTAATAAAATAAAAATATCATTTATCAATTAATGTTCATATGATTTACTCTTTCATACCATATGAATGCAAAAATCAAATAATTATAATATTTTAATAAATGATTTTATTTGTAAATAAATAATTTTAATTTATAAATTTTATTTGGTAAAATTTAGAAATAATATAGAATAATATAAATTAATGCGACAAAATAATATAGAATAATATAAATTAAAATAAATAAAAAAAATTTAAAAATAAAAAATAATATAAAATAAAAACAATAAATAATATTATTTAACTATAATTTTTATGTTTATTTATAATTTATTTTAATTATTTTGTTTTCATTTAATATAATAATTTATTTAAATTATTTTATTCGTCTAATTTTATATAATTTATTTTATTGTATTTTAATTTATCATATGTTTATAATTAATTATTTAATTTATCTTTTCAATTTAATTTCATTCATTCAAAATCCAGAATAATGGTTATATATATTAAAATTCAATTTCTATCACTCAACCTTGAGTGGTGTGGTGGTTGTATGTAGAGATGTTAAACGGGCTAGCCCTAGCGGTTTCGGGCTAGCCCTAGCAGGCTTCGAGCTAAGCGGTCTGGGCCTAAAAAGCTCGGATTTAAACGGGCTACCAATAAAAGGACCTAACCCTAACCCTAGCGGGCTTCGGGCTAAACGGGCTATGCGGGCTTTAATAATAATAATAATAATAATAATAATAATAATAACAATAATAATAATAATAATAATAATAATAATAAATTATAAAAATTACAACGACTAACTAGCGATTGTTTTCAATAGTTATTTAGTATTTACCGCTCTATATGTACAACTACGCACATTTTTTTTTTCAAAAGACAAAAATAGTTGAATTACTACTTACAATTACTATTTTACTACTTATTTTGTAAGTTTTGGAAATTTTTACGATATTATATCATTATAAATTATATCACTATGTTTCATGTGTTAGGTCTTTGTCTCATGTGTTTCCTATTTATAAGAATATTATTATAATTATCTTTCAAAAATCATTATAATCCGTTACAACTCATACTTACATGTGAAGTGGAATAGCAAAATTGTAATATACAATGAATCTAAGAGCATATTACTTTACTTGCTGCAAACATTTACAACGCCCAACTCAAGTTAAACGGGTCAGCCCTAGCGGATTTCGGGCTAGCCCTAACGGGTTTCGGTTTAAATGGTCCGGGCTTAAAAAGCCCTGATTTAAATGGGCTACCAATAAAAAGTCCTAACCCTGTTTTTTTCGGGCTAAACGGGCTGGCCCGTCGGGCCAAAGACCATTTAACATCTCTAGTTGTATGCCACTCCATGCTTCCATGAGGGCTCAAGTTCGAACCCCAGGAAGAGCATATTTTTTTTAAAATTCAATTTATCGCGATATATTGAATATATCACGATAATTCAATTTATCATAAATATAATATAATATTCAAAGGATATAACGGGAATTATGTGAAAAAATTAACGCCGTTAGCGGGGTAACAGAAAAGAGGGAACGTGTGCACCGACCCCTTAAATATAAGGGGGTATGGTGCATTTTTTAAAACACAGTGGAGAAACGCGCACATTTCGTTAAACATAGTGGAGTTTGGTGCAATT